TAAGTTGTTCTTTATTTGATAGCAATTATAGTAAAAACTGTAACAAAGTATCTATAAATTCATGAACTCAGTGAAGCAAAACACATTTACATGACATAAAATAACAACTGTTTATAACCTTGTAAGACCCATTTTATTCTACACTTGGACATGCTTAAGGTCTTGCCATGTGCTAAAAATGCTACAATTTCCTTCATTTGTTTTGCTTTTGTGAAAGAAAAAAGTTATCAGCCTTCTGAAAGAAGCTAACATAAATTATATGTTATTAAAATATTTTACTATCTTTTGTGTTACACATTTATGTGTTCATTTTCATACTCATTTATTTTCCCACTTATGAAAATCTCTAGGAACTCTCAGTAATCTCAATATTTACAATTCTATTTAGAACTCAACATACTGATGTTCAGTCCTGGATCCCCATTTGAATCATCTGGGAAATTAAAAAAAAAAAACAGAAATCTGACATCCCAGCCTACCCCCAAATCATTTAAACCAGCTTTGCATCTCTAGAGAAGCAATTTGGCCGTCTGTATTTTTCAGAACTCTCCATTCTATAAAATCCATAACCAGCACTGACTGTCAACTCATTATACACAAGGAAAGTCTGAAACACTGTCATGGACCAGAGGGGGCAGGTGCAGGAGACATGATGGCTAAATGTAATGTGGAGTCTGATGCTGGTGACTCACACCTATAATCCTAGCTACTTGGAAGGCTGAGATTGGGAGGATCTTGGTTCAAGGCCAGTCCAGGCAAATACTTCACAAGAATCCAAAATAATCAGACAAAATGGACTGGAAGTGTAGTTTAAGCCATAGAGTGTCTTCTTTGCAAGCAGGATGCCCTGTGTTCAAACCCCAGTTCCACCAATCAATCAATGTAATGTGGCACCCTAAGTGGGATGCTGACAGAAAAGATGGTATTGGGGAAAACTACTGGAATCCAAATATTTCATGGCATTTGGTTAATAGTAATGTACCAGTGTTGTGACAAACATACTGTGGCAATGTAAGATGTTAATAATAGGGAGAGCTGGTGAGGAGAGAATTGGAACTCAGTACCGTCTCTGCAATTTTTCAGTAAATGTCAAACTATTCTAAAATAAAAAGTTTATTTTGAAATCTGCCTAACAATACTCAGTCAAAAGAACAATGCTGGAGGTATCACAATACCTGACTTCAAACTATATTACAAAGCAATAACAATAAAAACAGCATTGTACTGGCACAAAAACAGACATGAAGACCAGTGGAACAGAATAGAGGACCAGATATGAAGCTAAACAACTATAACCAACTTGTCTTTGACAAAGGAGCTAAAAATATACAATGGAGAAATAGCAGCCTCTTCAACGAAAACTGCTGGGAAAACTAGTTAGCAGTCTGCAAAAAACTGAAACTAGATCCATGTATATTACCCTATACCAATATTAACTCAGAATGGATCAAGGATCTTAATATCAGACCACAAACTCTAAAGTTGATACAGGAAAGAGTAGGAAATACTCTGGAGTTAGTAGATATAGGTAAGAACTTTCTCAACGAAACCCCAGCATCACAGCAACTAAGAGATAGCATAGATAAATGGGACCTCATAAACTAAAAAGCTTCTGTTCATCAAAAGAAATGGTCTCTAAACTGAAGAGAACACCCACAGAGTGGGAGAAAATATTTGCCAGCTATACATCAGACAAAGGACTGATAACCAGAATATATAAGGGAACTTAAAAAACTAAATTCTCCCAAAACTAATGAACCAATAAAGAAATGGGCAAGTGAACTAAACAGAACTTTCTCAAAAGAAGAAATTCAAATGGCCAAAAAACACATGAAAAAATGCTCACCATCTCTAGCAATAAAGGAAATGCAAATTAAAACCACACTAAGTTTCCACCTCACCCCTGTTAGAATAGCCATCATCAGCAACACCACCAACAACAGGTGTTGGCAAGGATGTGGGGAAAAAGGAACCCTCTTACACTGTTGGTGGGAATGTAAACTAGTACAACCACTCTGGAAAAAAATTTGGAGGCTACTTAAAAAGCTGGACATCGATCTACCATTTGATCCAGCAATACCACTCTTGGGGATATACCCAAAAGACTGTGACACAGGTTACTCCAGAGGCACCTGCACATCCATGTTTATTGAGGCACTATTCACAACAGCCAAGTTATGGAAACAGCCAAGATGCCCCACCACTGATGAATGGATTAAGAAAATGTGGTATCTATACACAATGGAATTTTATGCAGCCATGAAGAAGAAGGAAATGTTATCATTCGCTGGTAAATGGATGGAATTGGAGAACATCATTCTGAGTGAGGTTAGCCTGGCCCAAAAGACCAAAAATCGTATGTTCTCCCTCATATGTGGACATTAGATCAAGGGCAAACACAACAATGGGATTGGACTTTGAGCACATGATAAAAGTGAGAGCACACAAGGGAGGGGTGAGGATAGGTAAGACACCTAAAAAACTAGCTAGCATTTGTTGCCCTTAACGCAGAGAAACTAAAGCAGATACCTTAAAAGCAACTGAGGCCAATAGGAAAAGGGGACCAGGAACTAGAGAAAAGGTGAGATCAAAAAGAATTAACCTAGAAGGTAACACACACGCACAGGAAATTAATGTGAGTCAACTCCCTGTATAGCTATCCTTATCTCAACCAGCAAAAACCCTTGTTCCTTCCTATTATGGCTTATACTCTCTCTACAACAAAATTAGAAATAAGGGCAAAATAGTTTCTGCTGGGTATTGAGGGGGTAGGGGGGAGAGGGAGGGGGCGGAGTGGGTGGTAAGGGAGGGGGTGGGTGTAGGGGGGAGAAATGACCCAAGCCTTGTATGCACATATGAATAACAAAAGAAAAAAAAAAAAGAAATCTGCCTAATAAGAAGCCAGGGTTGAGAATTACTTCTATAGGAATCTGCTTACATCAGAAAGCAAAAGGCCCTTGTGAAATAGCCAGTCCAATTGTCAATTGCCAGACTGCTTTCCTAAAAACTTGACCTTCACAATGGGCTGCTGCATTAGGATGGTTCATAAATTACATTTCTAGAGTCAACTGATACTGGACTGGCTTATTGTTCCCCAGGTTGGTGTCCTGGCACAGTCAACGAATGAAGGCGTCAAACAGTCGGAGTTAAAGCAAGTTGATGCCACAGACCAGGAGTTAAGAGTAAAGTAAGCACAAAGTTTATTGAAAGGATAGCACAGTATCTTGATGTGTGGAACTTAGTGAAAGAACTAAGCCAAACAATAGCTGAAGTCTAGGAGATGATGTATGGCATTAACTGGTTTAGGTCCAACTAGTCTACCTTGAAACTGTATTTGTGATTGGTTGGCACTGAGTCAGTTTCTCGCTGAACTCAGCCACCTGTCAATGCCTCTCCTTATCGAACTGAGCATTCCAAGAAGGTCTGGTCAACTCGCTCTAGCCTTCGGTCCCACATTTGCAGCTGCATTATTTTGTTTAGAGGCTTGTTTCTCATGCCCTTCTACATGTCTGTTTCATCCAAAATGGAGACCCCTCTGTCATTGCTCCCCACACATCACCTCCAGGGAAACACAAATGGACTCACTGTAATAATCATAATCTTGATAATTATTCACTTCCAATATACAAAAATTCTAGGATTTCTTAGTAAAGGAAAAAAAAACTACTCATAATTCATTTCTTAGTTTAGAAACTTAAGTTTAATTTTAATGTCTATAAGATAAAATGGATTTAATATAATGTGCGTGCTGTGCTTCCCTAGTGGTTTGAGAAAATCCCAAATGATTTTTTATAAGAGGGCTGCCAGTTCCTTTGTTATCTATAGAGAGAAAGGAGATTTAGACTTGATCAAAAGTTCTCTAGTATTGGGACTCATCTTTCCTACCCCTCCCTACTGTGGTAGGAGGGAGACAAGGGGAAAAGATTCCATAGTTGTCCATGAAGCTTACCTGGATTTAGCCCAGCCACCCTTTTGTCTTCATTACCACTGCCATTAAATATTTGTCATCTGTGTAAATCTCTAAAGAAAAATCAGAATTGTGCTTGAAGAAATCGGGTCAGGGCTGGAGGTGTACCTAAGTAGTGTAGCACACTTTCCTAGCATGTGCAAAATCCTGGGCTCAATCCTCAGCCGGGTGGGGTGAAGGGAAGGAATCATTATGCAGAAGTAAACATCTGATAAACAGCTCCTTTCTGGAGATGATGTTTCAAAGGCTTCTTTTTGCCCGGCATGGGGGGGTGCACGCTTGCACTTGGGAGGCTCAGGCAGGAGGATCGTGAGCTGGAGGCCAGCCTGGGCTACATAGCCAGACCCTGTTACAAATAAACAAGCAAACAAAGCAAAACAAAAACAAAAGCAAGGCTCCTTAAGAAAAAAAATTGCACACATTATCTACTTTGAGAATATGTCACCAATTTATAACATAAAATTAATCAGTCCCACACGTCCCAGCTTCACCGACTGTAGGTAAATAATCTCTTTTCTCCGAGCGTTTCTCTGTTTTTAATCGGTAAAATGAGTAAATTGGACCGTGCAATCTCTAAAGCCCCTTGCATTTCAGACACTGAAATTTTGTGAGCAGGACCTGGAGAAACAAGAGTGGCATTTTAGGATTTAGGGTTTGGTTCGTGATATGCGGAATGGTATTGCAGCTGTCTCCGTGTTTGAGTTCCTAGACTTAAAGGTGAGTGAGAAGGGGAGGAATGAGCGAAAGGGAGGGGTGGGAAGGAGAGCCCACTTAGGGTAAGCTCCAGGAACTTCCTCGGACTGGCTGGGCAAGCCGAGCGTGCGGTTGCTACGCAACTAAGCCTCCAGGGAGTGTGGAGGACCCCAGCTGAGGTGTCTAAGTCACTATTTGTTTTTTAGCCACGGTGTCTAACTTTTCGAAACCAGTGACATATGGTCTTAAAAAGTACACATAATTTTCAGTCCTGTTTGGCCACACTCCATAGCTGAGTTCTGCTCGCAGTGTTTGGTTTTGTTTTTTTTCTTGTTCTCAGGCGCGCTTCGGACACCTCTTCGGCAAGGCCCAGCCGCCACGCGTTGCCGGGCAGAGCTGGACGCCGCTTGTTCCCTGTGCCCCTCCCGCTGTCCTCGCCGGGCCAGGCCCTGGTCCTTCGCGGGCTGTTCTAGGCCACCATGGGCTCGGAGATGGAGCCGCTGCTCCTGGCCTGGAGCTATTTTAGACGAAGGAAGTTCCAGCTCTGCGCGGATCTGTGCACGCAGATGCTGGAAAGTCCCCTTGTGACCAGGTACCGGCTGGCCCCGGTGTGGACCCTCGCGCTGAGGCCGAGCGCTCTGGGGGACCTCTGCTCCCAACCCAGGGAGGGGAGGCCGGGGAGGAAGGCCCCAGGCCAGCCTGACCTCGGAAGGTCAGAGGTTCCCGCAGGGACACCTGGAGCGAGGGACCTTGGTGAATCCCTGCCCTCCAAGTCCCTGTGCCTTAACCGCTCCTTCCGCCAACTTCAGCATCCCTTTTCTCTTCAGTGTCTGGAATTAAGGCTGTGAACTTTATGTTGGTGAAGAGCTTTGGTAATGCATTTGTACTTGCACCTGGACGGACTCTTAAGCTCTCTGTTAAATCTCTAAAAAAGAATAAGTATGTGTAAAAGATCTGTGACCTTTTGCCTCCTTTTGACATGGCGGTCTTTTCCTTTGGATCAAATGTGTGATCTGCCCACGTCATCCTTAGACAGTTGTCCAACCCTGAAGGAGCTTTTGATTCTGGGCCATGAGTTCAACTTGCAAGAGGCAGGAATTAGAATGTAGGAGGGGAAAGATACATTTATTATTAAAGAAACTACCCGGACATGGGAAACTGTATTGTAAGAGGGACAGAAAGTCTTCTAAAAGAAGGAATGATGGCAGTGATTAAAAGGGAATTTAAGCCAAGCACGGTGGCTCACGCCTGTAATCCTAACTACTTGGGAGGATGAGATTGGGAGGATCACAGCTGGAGGCCAGCCTGGGCAAAGAGTTCATCTCCAAAATAACCAGAGCAAAATGGACTGGAGGGTTGGCTCAAATGGTAGAGCTCCTCCTTTGCAAGCATGAAGTACCTAAGTTCAAATCCAAGTCCCACCAAAAAAAAGAACTTACCAACTATGGTAATATTGTGTATAGTGAGTGAAAAGAATAATAAACAATGGATGTGAAAGGTACAACTCTGATCGACAGATAGTTCCTGGAAGAGAAAAAAAAAAGGAAAAGAAAGACTAGGAGGAGAGCTCTGGCAGTTTGTGCATTTTAGCAAATGCAGAACGTACTGTATAGTTTAGTTCCCAGTTTTTCATCTAGTGGTGTTAGAAGAAAAGATGGAGATATTAGGAAAAAAGTAATATCAAGGGTTATTGTAAAAGTGAGACCCGAGTGTGAAGGTTGTTACTAGTCTCTGCCCTACCTTTGAGCAAGTGGATGGAGGATGGCCTATTGATAGTATATCTCCTGCAGAGCAACTGTATTTGTGATAATACTAAGCTAGGTTCTGTTTGTGTTGGTTCACCTTAGTTAACAGGACTGTTTCTCTAGACAGCATTTTTCCAAGGGTGTTTCTTGGCACAGTAGTTTCACAGATGATGCTAAAAAACATTTAAAAGATTCCACAATCTAATACACTTGGAAACAGGGAATATGTATCTATTGACCTCTTTGTCCTTGTTATGATGGAAGTTTGTTAAGAATTTTCCACAAACCAGACTTTGTTTTTGACACAAAGAACTTTGCATTCTATTTCCATTTTTCCGTTGAGTTAGATTAGTTTCCATTCAGTGTTCAACAGAATGCTAGTCCCAGAGCTGCTCAGTGAAAGAAAGTTTCCTCATTAAATGCGTTTGGGAAATGTGTATTCCCTTCTTAGGGATTCAAGATGCACACTATAGGCTCTGAGCAGTTCCAAAGAAAAGAAACCTAATTTTGCCACTTATTTGACCAGTGATTCCTTTTTTTTTCCCCCCAGAGCAAGGGCCAGATGTATTCTTGGGGAGATATTGTCATATTGGGAAATGTTGTTATAGGCAAAGCAGCTGTGGTTTTTTTTTTGCAGCACTATGGTTTGAACTCTGGGCCTCATGCTTGCTACTCAGGCACTCTTACCGCTTGAGCCATTCCACTAGCCCAGCTGTGTTCTTATTGATGGGTAAGATCTTATAATCTTGAGTTTATGGTGACATTCAGTACTGCCCGTATGAATTGAGATTTTCTTTGTGCCAGGCCATAGTGACTGGGACTTTTTATGTGTTCATTTCAGTGACCTTTTATTTACTACTTACCAGGCATAAATTCTGCAAATTACATGTATTTCTAATGCTTAGAATAACCTTGCAAAGAGGGCAATGAAGAATACCTAACAGACTTGGTTCAGAGGGTTTTGTTATGTTATCTCATTTAATTCTTAAAAATTCTAGGAGTTGGTAATATTTTTCCCATTTTATAGACTGAGCACACTATGGCACAAGTGAATTGTCCAAAGGTGGTTGTTACAAAGTGAGGAAACCCACTATGCTGCCACTTTCTCTGTCTATTTCTCCCTTTGGCGGTAGTTGTGCTTGCTAGATAAGCACTCTACTGCTTGAACCATTTGAGCCATGCTGCCAGACCTGCTTTGTCCCTTGAATGACCTGAATTTTCAAAACTGTTTCTCAATTTTTCCTAGTGTGTTTTTCTATCTATAGTGACTTTTCAAGATTCTAGCTAAGTGTTAAAGAATTTTGGCACGTCTATGCCCTTGTATTAAAGATTCTGAGAAGTCCTAAAAAGGAAGAACTTTCATTTTTGATTAAGCTAGTAGTTCTGAAAGTTATTTGACCCCTGATTCCTTTTGGGGGGAGGAGAGGAGGACAAACATCTTTGTTACCTTGGGGAGATGTCTTTTTGGGAAGTAACTAAGCAGAACAGCAAGGTTTTTATTATTATTATTATTATGGTTAAGAAGAGGGGGTAGTTGGATGCAGTGGTTCATGCCTGTAATCCTAGCTACTCAGAAAGTAGAGATTGGGAGGATCATAGTTTGAGGCCAGCCTGGGCAAAATGTTCCTGAGACTTCATGTGGTGGCACATGCTTGTCATCCCAGCTATGAAGGAAGTATAAGTAAAAGGACCCTGGTCCAGGCCAGCCCAAGTACAAATGCAAGACCCTATTTGAAAAATACCTAAAGCAGAAAGGGCTGAGGGAGTGGCTTAAATGGAATAGTACCTGCCTGGCCAGTGCAAGTCCCTGAGTTCAAACCCCAGTCAGTACTGGGGGGAAAAAAAAGGTGGTGAGATAGAAGAGATCATTCCTTTTATGTAGGAAAAGTAGAAAATCAAACTAAGATGTTTAAAATTGGCTGGGCACTGGTGGGTCAGGCTTATAGTCCTAGCTACTTAGGAAGGAGGATCATGGTTGGAAGCCAGCCTGGGCAATAGTTCTTGAGACCCTATCTTAAAAATACCCAACACAAAAAAGGGCTGGTGGAGTGGCTCAAGTGATAGAGCACCTGCTTAGCAAGCTGCCCTGAGCTCAAAACCCAGCAGTGAAAAAAAAATTTTTTTGAAATCTCTCTTAGCAGCTAAATAAGGAGAGAACTTGGATTCTTTTATGTGGTCTCTCATGCATTTCCCATCGTGCTTTACTGATCCTCTTGGAGGTTTAAGACTTATTACTGGGTTTGTCTGGTGAAAGTAAGATTTTAATAATGGTGATGAAGCAAAAAGACAATAAGTCATACTGGGAAATAACTGCTACTGGTATTGGATAACCAATGTGCTTAAGGTTATTATAGCATTATCTCTTGTCCCATTTCTTGTGAATTTGAAATAATACTTCATAATGTGATACACGTTATCTAATACCATAGAATGTTAGTGTTCTGTGGTTATGAGCAGGGCTTATGTTTAGCTAGGATAAGTATCAGAGGAGACAATCAGTACCAGATCTGGAAGAAATTTGTGATATTATTCTTTCTGATCTTTTTTATTTGTTTCATTGAAGTAGTTTATTTGTAGATGAACTATATGCATTGACAGAATGAGCCTCATTTTACCAGGAATAGAAGTTTAACTTGACCTTATCTTACCAAAGTAGACTTTTGATACCTGGTTAGGGCTATTGGAATGTCTATAGGGTTCACTTGTCTTAGTTATTCCTTGACCCAACTGTAAACTGTTATTATAACTATATGCTTTTCTCAGCACCAGCTGATATATTTTGTGCCTATTTGTTATTTCATGTTTAAAATATTTCTCACCATGATTTTTCCCAAGTTTAAGAAATCCTGCCTTTTTCTTAATTAACTAAAAACAATAACATTTATATTAGATTGTTGATGCAATAAGTGACCTTTAGGAAACTTAAGGAGATTCCTCTGACTAAAAGCTTGAACATTCTCATTCCTTAGAACATGAATTTAAAAGAGTAACAGAAGGGGTGAACTTGATCAAAGAATATTATATTATAAAAGGAAATACCACAGTGAAACCCCTTTGTATAATTAATATATGCTAATGAAAAGAGAAGGGAAACATGACTCTATGGAAGGTCTTTATGGAACTCTTAGCACCTGGAAGAGGCTGACACACAGGATCTCTCAGTACATATTTGATGAGCTAGTGCATTGATCATGTTCATGTATGTTGTTTTTAAAATTCTTTTCTGTTTTGTGGTAATGGGGATTGAACTCAGGTCCTCCCATTTGCAAGGGAAGTACTCTTACTACTGGAGCCAAACCCCGTTTTAGTTTATTTTTCAGATAGGGTCTCTAGCTAATTTTGCCCAGGATGGCCTCCATCCTAGATACTCCCACCTCTGAAGTAGCTCAGATTACAAGGTGTGCACCACCATGCTCAGACTGTTTTTTTCAGGTAGGGTCTTTCTAACTTTTTTGCCTAGGCTTGTCTCAAACTGCAATCCTATCTTCACCTCTCTGGGATTAGAGACATGAGCTATCATGCCTGACCCCCTGGCTTGTTTTTGACATAGGGTTTTGGTAACTTCTCTTGGGCTGGCCTTGAACCTTGATCTTCCTACCTCTGCCTTTGAGTAGTTGGGATTACAGGAATGTACCACCAGGCCTATGCATATATGTGTTTTGATGGAGTTCTTATATGCCCAGATTCCCCTGTCTTTCTGAAGATTACCATCACTGTCTAATGATCTTTGTCTTCTCCTGTCCCACTCTTAATTCTCAGTATATTCTTAAATGTACATTTGTCTTTTCAAATAAATATGTTGCATTGTTAATTCATTTCCTGTTTTGAGGCTCAGCTTTAAAGAATC